TGGAACCCTCTGGGCTTGCTGACCGGCCCTCTGATGGTGTGCATGAGTGGGGGAATGCCTCCCTCCAGCCCCGTGGCTCACTTGCAGCGCCCCGCCCACGCCGTGCCTGCCAACGCAGACCCCACCACCAGCTCCTCACCGCCGGTACCCGGACTCTGCTAGAAGCCTCTTCCTGGCAGCTGGAACATGTTCAGCCCACACGCCAGGCAGGCTGGAAATGCTGGCAAGTTAGCACCCTGGGAACAGCCTTAATGGGTAAATACTCCAACTTCCTTGCCCAGGAGTGGGACGACAGAGGCCTGCTCTACGCAGCCTCCCGGAGATCCCTAGCAGGGTTAAACACCAGCTGCCCACAGCTGTAACTGCCCCTTAACGTCCCCTCTCTTGGTTCCTTTTCCTTTCTCGCCTCTCCTCCCCACTCCTATACCAGTGCTTCCAGGAACTGCCTCCTAAGTAAACTACTTGAACTCAAATCTTTGTTTCAGGTTAGGCTTCTGGAGGAATCCAACATAAACGACCAATAACCCAAACCCAACCGATGATTGAGATCTCTTCTAGTTCTGTTTTGTACACATCTCCATAGCACAAGCTGTGTAACAGGAAATATTGGGCACTTTCCTTACCCCTAGTAGGGAAATCACACCGATAACTGTACTAGACAAATACACAAAGCAGTATAAAGAAGGAGGTGGTGGGGCGCCTGGGTGGCGCAGTCGGTTAAGCGTCCGACTTCAGCCAGGTCACGATCTCGCAGTCCGTGGGTTCGAGCCCCGCGTCGGGCTCTGGGCTGATGGCTCGGAGCCTGGAGCCTGTTTCCGATTCTGTGTCTCCCTCTCTCTCTGCCCCTCCCCCGTTCATGCTCTGTCTCTCTCTGTCCCAAAAATAAAATAAAAATGTTGAAAAAAAAATTAAAAAAAAAAAAAGAAGGAGGTGGTTACCAGGAAAGGCTTTACAGTGGGCATGACTTCTGAGGTTTTGAAGGATGAATAGGAGTTCTCCGGGTAGATGAAGAAAGGAACGGCATAGTTAAAAATCCAGAGGCACAAGGTATCCAGGGTACCTGAACGGATGGGCAGAGTCTTGTCCATCCTGCTAAAGGTGTTTCGATATTATCTCGAAAAGATTGGAGGATTTCGAGAAACTGTGGCTTATCTTCTTCTGATTGCACGAGTATCAGATGCTCATTGTAGACAAGTTGGCACACAAAGACAAGTATAAAGAAGAAAATAAAATGACCTTCAATCCGCGGTTAATTAAAATCACATTTTGTGTGTCGTCTCTCGGAGGAGACAGAAGAGGAGATGGAAGAGGGAGGTGATCAGACAGATACTGGATGTGAGGTGGCCAGCCGGGAGGCTTTTGCAGTGAGGCGATGGGGATCCTCCATGGGGGTGCTACGGCGGGGGGGAAGGCTGAGGTGTTCAGAGGTGGGTGTTCAGGGCCAGCTGGGTGGGGTATGGGATAAAAGGAGAGGAGGGAAACGTGACCACTAGAGACATTCTGAGTGTCTCCCTCCATAAACTGGTGGAGGGGACAGGGGCTGGGAGCCAGGAGGCCTGGGTTCTCATTTCAACTTTGTCATTTCCAACCTGTGGGACCTCAGGCAGGTCCCTGGGATCCTCAGAGCCACAGTTTCCTGACCTGAGAAATGGAAAGGTGTTTTCTTCCCTGCTTTCCTCACAGGCTTGTCAAGACTGTCCATGGGCCAAAGAAGATTAACATCCTTGGTGGATGGGAAGCCGTGGTGCCGGGCACTCCTGAAACCTTTGCTCAGTCCTTTCCCTGACCTTCTGCCTCTACCCATCATCAGCCCCCAGAAGGCCAGGGCAGGCTCACCGTCCTTCATTTCCTGTCCCCTTCTCTCCACATCCTTCACAGAGGATATTTGTCCTGATGGTTCCCCTGGCGAAAATGCTCTAAGCACCTCCATGCACTACCATTAATCCATTCAGTTTCCATACTAATTGGTGCCCTAGTATGTTCCAGGTATTAGGAACAGAGTGGTGTATAGGACAGCCAAGGTTCCTCCCCTCATGGAGTCATATGCTACCCAAGAGAAGACATACAAGAAATGAACAAATAAATTTGTGTACTGATGTAATGAAGGGAATAAAACAGGGCAACATGATAGAGAGTGGGGGTGCATTTCAGGTTTGACTGGACAGGAAGGGACCACTGAACTGAGATCTGAACAACTCAGGCAAAGGAAACAGCAAGTGTAAAGGTCCTGGGGTGGGTCTGAGCTTGGAATGTTTAAAGGACAGAGAGGTCAGCACGCCTGGGTTTATCCAAATTCCTGTCCATCCCACTTAAGTGTTGTCACTTTTGTGACGCCGTCTTGGATTACCACCTCACCCCTTACTTGCCGACTCGGCTCCAACCAGTTTCCATACCCCTGTGGTTACAACCGGCCCTGACCAATCTGGGTCGTGATGGACTCTTTACACACTGGACTGTTAGCTCCTTGATGGCAGGAACTAGCTCCATTAACCAGCACTGATCAGGCATGTAGCAGGTGATCGTTGGAAGAATGGGTCCATTAACCAATAGACAAACAAGGGAATGCATCCGTGAATACCAGGTCCATTTACTTGCTTAAACGTCGCCTTCTCAGATTCCCTGACCCAACAGCCTCCCCACCCTCCCCGCACACAGCACTGCGCATCCCCTACCATGCTGTTTTTCCCTGTGCAAATATCACCTCACATACCATAGAATGTGTGCATTTATTTTGCTTCTTGATTCCCCTGTCTCTCCCTGGCAGAATATCCACGCCCCCCGGGCAGGGATTTTTGAGTTAAGTTGTGCAGGCCTAGAACAGTGCCTGGCACATAGCAGGCACAGATAGGAACAAATGAGTTAGGGGTAAATGAATGCGTGCAGAAATGAATGAAGCCTCATAGAACGAGGGTCAGAACTGCACATCTGGGCTAGCCTGCCCTTAACAGAGATGCAGGAGTAAGGGTTGGGGCGTGACCTTTCAACCCGGAGCCGGCCAACTGGCCGGCCATCGTGTTTGCCTGTTTGCCGACCACGGCAATGCGCTGAACAGAACATTCCCACTTCGTTGACGGAGAAACTCTGGCAGGGTAAGTTTAAATGGCCTGCGGCGGATGACAGAGGTGGTGCTGACTCGGGTCGTTTGCTCTCCCGGCCCCCTCTCAGACGCGACTCTGACCCCCCAGTTCTGGGCGTCTCGCTCTCTTCCCGCGGTGGGAAGTCAGAGCCCGGTGGCCCCCGGGAGCTGCGCCTGGCGCGCCGGTGCGTGCTGCAAAGGGAGTGGGCACCCGGGTCCCCGAGTCGCCCCCCGAGCCCGCGCCGCGCCCCCGCCCCTGCCCGGCCCCGGCCACGCTGTCAGTCTCCATTAGCGCTAACAGGCTCCAGACGGAGCGGGCCCGGCGCGGGCTTAATGCAATCGGCGCGTTACCTGGGGCGCAGGCTACATTACCAGCCCGGCCCCCGCCCGGCGCGGCCAGAAGCAGCCAGCGCGC